GCATAGCAAATCTTTACTATGGATAAAGGTGGATCATGTGCAGGAAAAGCCAGGTAGATATATATTTTAAAAGAAAGCAAAATTTAAGGCTATGAAAGATAGCTTGCCTTTACTTGGGCCTGACAGAGTGTCAGATCAAATTTCTGCAGAAATATTACACACAATATTTTTAGCTCAAGTGATATTACAGTATTTTCCAAAATCAATTATCTCAAATAGTTTTTACAGCATCTGTAACCATCAATTATTCACCACTAACTGAGAAACTTCTTCTCATTTTGAGTCGTGCCACGTTATCAAATGAAGGTCCCGAAAGCTTGACTCCATTCACGTCATTAAGGTTGACCCTACTTTGAGGAGGCAACTCTTCCCAGTGATATTCTGAGTGCCTTCCAACCTGAGGGACTCATCTTCTGGCACTATATCAGACAATGTCCTGCTGCTATTCATAAGGTTTTCACTGGCTAATTCTTTTCAGAAGTAAACTGACGGGTCATTCTTCCTAGTCTATCTTAGTCTGGAAGCTCAGCTGAAACCTGTCCGCCAGAACTGGACCAATAAGCAACATCATGATAAACGGAGGGAAGACTGAAGTTGCTAAGGATTTCATTTTACTTGGATCCACAATCAATACCCGTAGAAGCAGCAGTCAAGAAATCAAAAGACACATTGCACTGGGCAAATCTGCTGCAAAAGACTTCTTTAAAGTGCTGAAAAGCAAAGACGTTACCTTAAAGACTAAAGTGCGCCTGACCCAAGCCATGGTGTTTTCGATCGCCTCACACACATGCAAAAGCTGGCCAATGAATAAGGAAGACCAAAGAAGAATTGATGCCTTCGAATTGTGGTGTCGGTGAAGTATATTGAATACACCGTGGACTGCCAATAGAACGAACAAATCTGTCTTGGAAGAAGTACAACCAGACTGCTCCTTAGAAGCAAAGATGGTGAGACTAAGTCTCACATACTTTGGACATGTTATCAGGAAGGATCAGTCCCTGGAGAAGGACATCACACTTGGTAAAGTAGAGGGTCAGCACAAAAGAGGAAGACCCTCAATAAGATAGACTGATACAGTGGCTGCAACAATGGGCTCAAGCATAACGATGATTGTGAGAATGGTGCAGGACCGGGCAGTGTTTCGTTCTGTTGTATACAGGGTCGCTATGAGTTGGAACTGACTCGATGGCACCTAACAACAACATCTGAGAAAAGTCTCTCTTTGCAACACTCTAGATAGGCTGCATTGAGAAAATTTCCATAATCAATAAATGTGTTAATCTTCAAAACTAAATAACATGGACCAACAGGAAGCAAATAAAGAAAGAACTTACATCCATCCTCCCAACTGGTAATTTCCACCTCAGACACTTGATGTCTATAACTCCAAGCCTACAACCTCTCTTTTCTCCATCCCATTTCCTTCTCACTAGTTCCATGCAGTGGTAGCACCAAAGAGTGACTTGGTGGGATTTTTAGCCTCCTTCAATAATTTCTATCAGCCCTTCTAAAAGACAACCCAAAAATATACAAACTAAATAAAGCAAGGCAGTTGCTACTGCAAAAGCAGCTCAAGACAAGAAACCTGGATTACCCATCCAAATAAGTTGCTGTCCCTCCACCTTCTACACAGAAACCATGGAGTTGTCACCTGTACCATGCTTTGTACGTTCATTTGGAGTATACTACAGTAGTTAAAAGTATCAATCTGGAGTCAGACAGATCTGAGATTTAAATATTAGCTCCTCTGCTTGTTGATATGTGACCATAGACAAGTAGCTTAATTTCTATTGGCTGTACCTTTTTTTTTTTAAGTTGTGAAAGTGCACATACAAAAGAGGATATATATGAAGAAATTATAAAGAATAAGATAAACATGCATGTATCTACTACTGAGTTCCAAAATACCAGAAACTTCTAAGCCTACAGAAGAAGGAAAGAACAGGGTGGAGAAGACATGGATAAAAACTAGACTTCTGTCAATGTAAATTGTTTAGTTTTGACTTTGAAACAATATAAATATTGTATTAATTATAAAACAAAATAAAATAAAAATACTTTAAAATCCTAAAAATTGACTATTCCAATTGGTGATTTAACCACATAGAAAGGAATGAGCTCAAGTGACTCTAAAAGACTACAATTTGATTATTGATCCCTACTCAGGTATAACCAAAGACAAAAATGACTATAAAGAAATCCTAAACTGTTTTTTGAGTAATCATACTGCTAGTAATAACACAGGTATTATTGTGAAAAATTATCTGTATATTAAATGATAGTCAATGTACATTTTGCTAATATTATTAACTAAAAATTTTACATAAGAAAGGGAACACAAAAACAAATCAAATCCATTAAAAACCCTAGAATTCTAAATTTGAATTGGAAATATCAGTAAGAACTTACAATGTGTTTTAATTTAAATTTTTTTCCAAGCTCTATCCACTTAAGACTTAAAAACAACTAACCCAACAGCAATGAGAACCTCTAGTACCCAGATTATAGTCTCCAAATACTATTTCCAGGTTGGGAACAAGAAAGGCACAAGATGAGCTTGGAATATCTTGTTGTACCAGGAAGCAAAGAAGCTATAAAGATCACTGGATTCCTGTCAAAAGGACAAAACAGCCAGGTTGAAGCAGCTCCCACTGGCCAAAGATGGGACAATTTAAGCATCAAAAAGAATAAAAACTGCAATTGATGGGAACACATCAATTATGTTAAAAATTCATTAGCTGGTAATAACTTAAAAATTTTTTTTGGTTATCTTACGAAGATACTAGGGAATCAGTTATTCAGAAAACTGGTAAATAATTGGAAAGAATCAAATATTTATTCCTATACAACCTGTTCTTCACAGTAAATAAGTAGTTGGTATGGGAAAATCCTTCTCTATGAAAGAATAAATGCAGAAGAAATTACAGAACTGGAATATCACCAGTTAGGAACCCCTTCCTCATAAAATAATGGATATAAGCAACAAGCATCAAAGGAAGCTAAATTACTGGCTGAAAAGTTGATGAGGAACTTTATAACGGATGAAAAAGGCTAACAACACCTGAACCATAACATCATAAAAATGCAGCCAGATAGTATATTCTCCTGATGTGATGCAATCAGAAATTTTCAACACCACCTACTAAATATTTAAGACAAAAATGTAATCTGAATCTAATCAAGACTCTAAATCTAACAACCAGTTTGTAGGAACTAGAGAGGATTGAAGAGGTTAAATAACAACATGTTGACGCAATCAGTAAAATCCAGGATGAGAAATTCTACAGGAAAAATGACCCAGTTTCTCCAACAAGGAGCCCTGGTGGCGCAGTGGCTAAGAGCTCAGGCTGCTAACTAAAAGGATGGCAGTTCAAATCTACCAGCCGTTCCTTGGAAATGCTATGAGGCAGTTTTACCCTATCCTACAGGGTCACTATGAGTTGGAACTGACTCGATGGCAGCGAGTTTGGTTTGGTTTTTTTGGTTCTCCAACAAATAAAGTGCAAAGGAAAAAATAAGGATAGCAGGGGAAGAGTTTAAAACGAGACTCAGGAGATAATATCAAACAAATACAACGTATAGACCTTGTCTAGTTCTTGATTCAAACAAACTTAACAATAATTACAGGCAATCCCCAGATTACAAACAGTTCGCATCTAACATCAGTTAGTCAAATGTGTGTCTTAATATGCAGTATATAGGGTGTAAATTTCTATGCATAAAAGACATTAAAGAAACACTTTCAGATACACTAAATCATCTTTAATATAATAATACAGTAATAATAACAATGTTTTGATGTGTGTCGCAAAGTAGCACCTGTTTGTTATTACAAACCACTATATGTACCTCGAATTTTTAATATGATAGGCTTTAGGAGACGGTTGGTTCGTAACTGTGTCTTGTACGTAAGTGGGACATTCATAACCCTGGGGCTGCCTGTATAATAGGGGAAATGTAAACTGACTATTTATTGTATTTTCAGATGTAACAATGGTATTGCAATCATTTTTAAGTATTTTTTAGAGATACAGTGTAAGTATTACTAGATCAAAATATACGATAACTGGGATTTACTTTAAAATAATCAGTGAGGGGAAGGAGCGATAAATAGGTCAAATTTGACATGCTAATTTGTGATAAGTACATTATTCTGTCTCTGCTTTTTTATGTTTGAAAATTTCCACAATAAAGTTTTTTTAAAAGGAAATAATGCTACAATAGCCAAAAGCTGGAAACAACCTAAATGTCCATCAATAGATGAGTGGATAAATAAAAAGGGGTACATGTATACATGGGAATATTATGCAGCCATAAAGAGAAATGAAATCCTGACACATGCTACTATATGGACGGACCTTGGAATATTAAGTTGAATGAAATAAGTCAGTCACAAAAGAACCATTACTGCTCCAACACCACTATATAATGTATTTCCGATTTGCTTTGCAATAGATCAGTAAGATTCAGTGCTGTGCTGAGCCCTGCCTTTTGAATTTCTGCCAGCAAAATTAAAAAAAAAAAAAAGAAACAAGAAAAGAAAAACTAAACTACCTCTATAATAAACTGCCTGAAGCTCATAAGGAAAACCACAGCAGAATGCCACTTCTTTAATTGCTTTAGAAAAGAGTAACTATTAGTGAGGGCCTGAGGAAGTAAGAGGAAAGCATCAAATACAGTTATACATACAAGCCTCTCCTTCCAACTCATCTCCACCAAAATATTACACAGGAAGATGAACCTTAATACACTGTAAGATAAGAGAACAACTCTGAAAATTATTTAAATTATCTAAATGTTCATAATAATTTAGTGATTTAATACTGAACTAAGTATGAGCTTCATATTAAAGATATGACATTTAGATTTTATTCATTCAGATCAGACTTACAGATAGCCTATGGTATACTGGTCCCCCTATAAGAAATGTTAAAAACGTTCAAGAGTTCATAAAATTTGACTACTGGTCAGACATTTATGAAAAAGAAAAAACTACTTACCACTAAATCCCAATTATTTTGTTCAAGCAATGTAATAGCTTCATCAATGTTTTCAATGCCAGTACATGCCTGGAAACAAAGTAAATAAGCATTTCAGGTATAATTTTTGGAGTGGAGAGGATAATTAGTCTTAAAAACGTAAGTAGCATACATGTAATTTAGGTTTGAACAAGTATAAGTAAAGCTCAGACATTCAACCCCTAACATTTCCCAGCATTTTCCATACATATTTTGAAAAAGGTTAATTGCAAAGTAAATTTACATTACACTGAAATAAAAGGCAATAAAATAAAGTATGTTTAAATATTGAGCTTTGAATCCCACGGTGATTTCTAGATAATCTTCTAACTGCCTAGAACAACTTTCATTAAAAAGTTGCTTATAAAAAAACCTTATGCAAAAAAATGAACTACAACCCATACCTCAACACCTTATATAAAATTAACTCAAAACGAATAACAGGCCTCAATATGAAACCTAAAACTATGTAACTTCTAGATCTGCATTCTCTATACTGGTAGTCACTAGCCACATGTGGCTAGTAAGCCCTTGAAATGTGGCTCATCTTGAGTTAAGATGTACTGTAAGTGTAAAATACACACCAGGTAAGCCTTAGTATGAAAATAAAAACGCAAACTATCTCATTAATAATTTTTCTATTGAATACATGTGTTAAAATGACAGTTATTTGATATTAGCTTAAATAAAACAGAATATAAAATTAATTTCACCAGTTTCTTTTTTACTTTTCCAATGTGGATACTAAACCAAACCAGCTGCTGTAGAGTTGATTCTGACTCATGGCACCCCCATGTGTTTCAGAGTAGAACTGCACTCCATAGGGTTTTCAATGGCTGAGATCTTTCAGAAGTAAACTGTCATGCCTTTCATCCAAGGTGCCTCGGGATGGATTTGAATCTTTAATCTTTCCGTTAGTAGCCGAGCAATTAACCATTTGCATGACCCAGGAACACTAGAAAATTTAAAATTACATATGTGGCTTTCATTATGTTTCCAGTGCTGTTCTAGAAAAAAAACATAGGGGAAAATCTTTGTGACCTAATTAGGCAAACTGCTTAGATACAACAACAAAAGCGCAATCCAAAAAAATTGATAAAATGGGCTTCATCAAAATTAAGAACAACTGTTCTTTAAAAGATCCTATTAAAAGAATGAAAAGGCAAGCCACTGAGTTAGAGAAAATATCTACAAAACACATAACAGAGCACTTGAAACCAGAATATATTAAAAAAAACTCTATTTTAAAAATTAATAACAGCCAAATATTTGAACAGAAACTTCACCAAAGAGGATATACAGTTGACAGTATGCACACGAAAAATGCTTGCCCCCATAAGTCATTAGAGAAACACCTTCTCTCCCCAAAAAGAAAACAGAAAGAAAAGAAATCCACACACACAAAGAAATACCACTTCTACCCGTTAGAGTGGTTAAAATCCAAAATACTGCCACTACCAAGGGATGGCAAGGATACAGAAAAACTGCAACTCTCATACATTTCTGAGGGGGAGGGAAGATGCAAAATGATAAAGCCACTTTGGAAAATATTTTGGCACTTTCTTAGAAAGTTATGGCCCAGCAACCCTACTCCCAGGTATATTATCTAAAAGAGATGAAAATTTATGTTCACAAGAAAACCTACACATGAATGTTTATAGCAGCTTTATTCGTAATCACTGAAAACTGGGAATATTGAAAACGTCTTTCAGTTGATGAATGGATGAACAGTGGCACATCCATACAACAGAACACTACTCAGCAACAAAAATGAACAAACTACTAATGACACAAAATTCCATGACTGAATCTCAAATGCATCATGTTAAGTGAAAGAGGCCAAACTTAAAACACTAGACATTGTGTAATTCCATTTAAACGGCATTCTGGAAAAGGCAAAACTATAGCATCAGAAAACAGATCACTGAGTGCTAGGGTGCTAGGGGTTAGAAGAGGGATAGGAGCTGACTAAAAAGGGGCAGCAAGTGGGGATTTTTTTTTTAAGTGAGTCACTAAAAACTGTGACTTTTCCTGCATGTGAATGTTTCTTAAAAGTAAATGTGTTCCCAGAAGAACTATACGGTGCTGGCTACAACTACCATACATTCTGATGAGGACCACAACAGATGGATCCTGATAGAAAGGGATAAAAATACGGAACAGAACTTCAAAATCTGCAAAAAATCCAGACTTACTGGACCCACTGAAACAGGAGAAATCCCCGAGTCTCTTGCCCTGAGATATTCTTTCAGCCTTGAACTAAAACTATCCCCTCAAGACATCATTTAGCTGAAAAGCAGGTTAGCCCAAAAAACAATGACTATCACCCTTTAGCATTATATCTTTTAAAATAACCATCTGTATGAAACCAAATGGTCAACAGATACTGTAACGCATAGATGGGAAGGTTGAGGGGCTGTAAGATTAGGTCATGGAAAGGGAACAACTAGAACAGAAATGAGAATGTTGATACAAAGTGAAGTATGTAACCAATGTCACTGAACATTATGTATAGAAATTGTTGAATGGGAAATTTCTGCTGTGTACATTTCCACCAAATATATAATAGAATATTAATTTTTAAAAAAAGTGAATGTGTTCCTCCTTCAATGAGAAAGAACAAATACTAGACAGAAACTTGAAGTCTTACATACAAAAAAAATATCTCCACTGAAGGTAAACGCATAGGTAAGTGTAAGGCCAAGTTTTAAAGTATTTTTGCTTGATAATTCTAACTGTTAAGCCTTTTGTGCTTTATAATGACAAATGTATAAAAAACACATATAAATTTGTGTTATAGGACACTGAATGTATAAATATATAATAAGCAATATCAACAACATAAATAAGGAAGGGGGAGGAACGGTATAGGTATAGAGTTTTTATGTTACTGAAGTTAAGCTGGTATCTATTTAAACCAGGCTGTTACAGATAGATGTTAAATGTAATCATCACAGTAACCACAAAGAAAATATCTAAAAAATACACATGAAAGGAGAAAAGAATCCAAGGGTTTCAACAAAACCCAAGACTTGGCAGTTTTAGAGGATATGAGGGACAAAGGCGGCGTAAGATAATCAAAAAACAAATAACAAAATGGCAGAAGCCAGTCCTTCCTTATCCATAATTACCACATGCAATGGGATGGATCGCTTTTGTGTGGCCTTTCTTATCATGGTCTTGTAACTCCCATTTAAGTGACTGCATGAAGCTGTGCAAATAACGTAATTGTGGCCCACCAAGGGTATTGGTCAGTTTGCCATCCCGCAAGGCTTAAAAGAGAGCCAATTCCAGAGCAGAGAGAGGATCTCACCACCACCAAGGAAGAACAGCCAGCAGTGGGAGGCGTCCTTTAGACCCAGGATCCTTGCACTGAGAAGCTCCTGGAACCAGGAGACAGAGAGAGAGAGCTGTAACACTGAAGATGGCGAGAAGTGGTGGCAGAGAACGGTGGCAGGAGACACCAACAGGAGAAAATACAGTGGGATTCATGACCCACAGAGCAAGAAATTTGAGTGTCTTTGGGAGGAGGCCTGCTGGCAGAGTAGGGTGCCTCTGGGTACTTGGTGGAGCTAGGTTTACAGACCCATGGAGCTAGAGCTGAGCACCTTCGAGCTAGGCTTGCTGGTGGAGTGGGGTGCCTCAGGGCACTTAGCTACAGAGCTAAAAGAGCTTTATAACACTTGTCCAAGCAGAGCAGGGCAGAGGCCAAGGGTCAGAAAGAGGCGTGTCTGTGAGCATAGCTGAAAAGGGGCTGTCCTAATGGAAGAACTACATCTTGAGTATTCCTGAACCTGAATTGTAACCTATTACTTTTCTAATAAGCCCCATAATCATGAGTATTGCCTGTGAGTTCTGTACGGCCATTGCAATAAATTATCAAACCCAACAGAGAAGTAGAGAGAGCCATGGGAGGGACAGCTGGTGTCAGAACTGGTAAAGACGGTGGAGAAAGGAGGCATGTCTGACTTCTCTCTAACAGGAATCAGTCTTTGGCTATTGATTTTGATTCTCCTTCCCCATCGTGAAGTTATAAAAGGGCAAACGCTACCCCCGTGCCATTTTTACGCCATAAATGTAAAAGAAAGAAATGTTCCAATTAAAAGACAGAGAGTAGCAGAATAGACTAAAATAATAAGATTCAAATATATGCTGTCTAAAAGAGATATATCTTAGACCCAAGGACACAAACAGGTTGAAAGAGAAAGGATGGAAAAAACAATATTCAATGCAAACAGTAACTTTAAAACAGAGTTGGCGTGGCAATCTTAGTATAAGATAAAATAGACTTCAAGTCAAAATCTGTTATAAGATACAGACAAGGACATTAGATAATGATAAAAGGGTCAATTCATCAAGAAGATACAACCCCAAAATATATAAAGCAAACACTGACAGAACTGAAGGGAGAAACAGACAGTTGTACAGCAGTAGCTAGAGATTTCAATATATCACTTTCAATAAAGACAGAACAGCTAAAAAAAAGATCAATAAGGAAATAGAGGACCTGAATTACACTATAAAACAACCAGACTTAACAGATATACATATATATCTATGTATGTATACATATATAACTCATCTGAATAACAGAGAACTAAATGTTATTCAGTTTATATATACCTCTAAGATCTAGCTGGTTTTATACATATATAAAACACTCCATCCCAAAACAGCACAATACACATTCTTCTCCAATGTACGTAGATCACTCTCCAGTACAGAGCATATGTTAGGTCACAAAACAAGTTTCAATAGTTTTTTTAAAAGTCAAATCATAGAAAGTATATTCTCTGACAACAACAGAGTGAAATTAGAAATTAATAACGGAAGGAAAACTGGAAAATACAAATATGTGGAAATTAAACAACCAATAGGTCAAGAAAGAAATCAAGAGACAAACTGGAAAATATTTAGAGTTAAATAAAATGAAAGCACAACATAGCAAAACTTACAGGATGCAGAGAAGGTAGTACTCAGAGGAAAATTCACAGCAGTAAAATGCTTACATTAAAAAAAAGGATCTAAAATCAATAGCCTAACTCTATAAC